CTCAAAGTAAAGTGTAAATTAGCACAATAAAACTACAAAATCGCTTTCACAAATCTCTGTCAGTCATTTTCTCTAACGAGCTACTTTAACTGCAAATCGAAAGAAGTGCTTTGAATTTCTGTTGCTTCGTTCGCTCAAGAATTTATAACGACATAAATTTCATTTCTTCAGTTCTGCTGATTTAACTTTATTACAGTTTACTAGACTTTGATAAGATTTGCTTCTACTTCATCAGTGCTGGATTGCCTCTCTAAATTGCTTGGAATTAATAGAGAAAATTTGGAGGAGAAATTAGTCAGGTAAGAAAATAACAGACGAGGTTTAGCCATGTTGTGTCGTGCGGTAAGCACCTGTGGTTGAAATGACCCCCAGCGATTCTTTAAAGAAGAATTTTTTTGTGTTTAAAACAGTGTCTTCGTGGAAACTCGCCGAGGCGGAAGAGTTGAAATAACAAAGAAAACCAACAACAAATGTCAGGTGGGAATTATCTTATCCCATTATTTTTTTTCTGTCTTGTTCTGGTTGTCATATAGTTTATATCTTTGTACATTCACAGGCGGTGGCGGCCCGTGATACTCTGTCTAAAGCCTTATACTCACATTTGTTTGATTACCTTGTCCAGGTTTGTAAAATTTATGTATTCTAGCTATTCATTCTATCCGTCCATCTTTCCGTTTATACTTTCTTACCATTTTTTTTCAAACCTCTTAATAAATGACATTGACTTCGAGAACAGGTTATCAATGGTGCACTGAAGAAATATAAGGACTATTTATCCATCGGAATACTGGACATTTATGGATTTGAATCGTTCAAAGTGAGTATACTTCTTCTTCCCTAATATTGCGCTATTAAGTGACTTTTGTGTCCGTACCTTAAGAGCAAAAAGTAGGTAAGGTCTCTACTTGAGTTAAGTGGCACACCCAGCCAGAACTTATCTCGGTTTACTTAGCTTGAACGGAATAGGAGGATTACTACTCCCCCCTCCCCCCCTGGGTGGGATGCTAGTCCATCACAAGGCTATCGCCCAGAATTTCATCATGTTTCTTAAGCAATTCGCCAGTACCCATCTATACTGTTACATTGGGTGAAGAGAGGCCCGGTGATATAAAAGCTTTTTGCCCAGGAACACCACACAATGATCCACACAGGTCTCGAACAAGAACCTTTCCCGTTGAATTCAGCACACAAACTGTAGGGCTATCAGGTCTACTGCGTTCTTATCAGGTAAAATGTGCTTTTTGACTCATTCAACTCAGGAAAATAGCTTTGATCAATTTGCCATCAACTACATGAACGAGAAACTTCATCAAGTTTGTGTGGGATTTACATTCACAATTGAACAGGTAATGGCGCCACTTCTAAATAGGAATTTGTTATACAAATTGATGTGTTACCAGTTAACATGGTTGCTATTTGAAGGAATGAAAACAGTTTAGTTTTAACGTCTCACTTATACGAAGCTAACCTCTAACTTATCAGGAAGAATATATCAGAGAGGGTATTACCTGGAAAACTGTGGATTACTTCAATAATAAGATAGTCTGTGAACTCATCGAAAGTAAGGTATGCTTTAGAACCATCTTGCTCACGATCTCAGTGTGCCTCTAAGTGTTGGTCATAGTTTTGTATCCAATATGCATGTTTGAGACGTTTTTCTTTCCCCATAGCGCCCTTCGGGAATCATGTCAGCCCTAGATGAAGTATGCTGCTCTGTAAAAAGTAAAAAAGAGGGACTCGAGAGGACTTTAATACAGGTTAAACGGAAATTGCCTAAACCTAGTTTTATCACATAGCTCAGATATCTATATTTGTTGTTTCAGCTTTTATCACCTTTTCCTCTGCAATTGTTATTTAACAATATTTCTCTA